CATGGTCCATGGAGTCTTGATAAGTTATTTGCATTGTACATACAAGAGACTGATTTTATAATGCATTTAGTAACAAAAGAGTTCAAGAACTAGTTTTTCGGATTTGGCATCAGAAACTTACAACTTTAACATAACCGAGTTTATATTATTTCACATGTGCATACTAGATATAGATGCATGGTATATTTGCATGTACTATTGATGGTCCATGGAGTCTTGATAAGTTATTTGCATTGTACATACAAGAGACTGATTTTATAATGCATTTAGTAACAAAAGAGTTCAAGAACTAGTTTTTCGGATTTGGCATCAGAAACTTACAACTTTAACATAACCGAGTTTATATTATTTCACATGTGCATACTAGATATAGATGCATGGTATATTTGCATGTACTATTGAACAACCTTTATGAGTGCATATATTACACCCGTGTTCCTATTATACACTAAAAATAAACTCAAGCCATAATTTCTACATACCTTCACAACCATGCCCTTCAGAATACGCTTTATTCTCACCTTCTTCTTTCTTTCTACCATCTTCTCTCTTTAGAGGAGATTCTGACATTTTTTCAACATTCATTACATTGGCTGGAAACTTTAGTTTATCAGACTTCTTGTCTGTGCAAGCACCACTAGCTGAGAAGTTGAAGACTTTGCTTTCTGATTCAGATCCGAAACGTGTTATATTAGGTTTTTGCAAGAAGCAGTGTTTATCATGATAGTGCTGATGGGCACTCAGAATATCATGGAAATTTTTGTTGCATGCACCACACCTCACAACATACATCTCTTCATGGCTTTTCCTTGAGGAGTGACTTTTGCAGAGATGATCATACAAGTCAGTGAAATTCTGTGCTGTTGCTGAACAGAAACAGCAGCGAAACCATAGATTTCCTTTTTCCAGAAGGGTTTTCTGACAATTTCTGTGATCTTCCTTTCGGTTCACTCTGGAAATGTACTCTTCCCGGCAACCACAGTTTAGAAAGTCACCTTTTTCTAATAGTACAAGGTTGTCTTTATTTTTTATTGACTCTTCAGACACAAACATGTAATCACCACTATGGAAACCACGATAGTGCATTAGAAATTCCTCCTCAACATCAAAAAAGAGATCACCGCAAAGACCACAAAAATATTTTACCTGTATCTCATCGTTATGCTGCTCTTGGCAGTGTCGGTATAGTGTTTCTGCTTTGTGAAAATGCTTTTTGCACAAGCCACAGCAATACCTATGAAACTGATGGCTTCCTAAAGACATACAATGTTGTTTAACACTGTCTTCAGACTCAAACATTTCCTCACAAATGCAGCATTGCCATTTTCCTGAAACAGGACTTCTCGCAAGGGACTGATCCACAGGGCTAGGAAGATGCTCTTTCGATTTAATGGCAATATTGCTCAGTGCATCAGAAGAAGATGCCATAGGTTCGTCTTCTAGAACTTCCTGCTCATAATAGTAAGAATGTCCACCATGAAGTTCAGTAACATGTGCCATAACGTTCTCTTCTCTCAGTAAGTCTGTATTGCATGCCCGACACCAGAAAATAAAGTTAGTTAAATGTGCCCCTCCATGGAACCGACTCATATGCAGACGGATGATGCTTGAGTTTTCAGCAAGCTTCCCACACACTGCACATTTGTGACAGATTCTATTTGCTGCCAAAATGTGCTTTTCAACTGACTCTTCAGTAGAAAACTTCAGAAGGCATTCACAAAACCAGACCTTTATTTTACCTATATTGCCTTGACATAGGCTTACTCCAGCCTCTTGATTTTTTTCTTCTAAATCCTTTTTCCGTTTTGAAATGGTAGACTCATTTTCAGAGACAGGCTCACTCACAGCCAATGGTCTCTTAAGGAGTGAAGATCTTGACTGATTTATAATCTGCCTCCAATGAGATGGGTTTTTATTTATTTCATTAATATGGCAAAACATCAAGATGGACTTTTCCATTGTGGTAATATTTTTAACTTTGTGCTGAGTCGCATCGCTATGCTGATTGATCTGGTTTTCATCTACAAAGAGCTTATCACAGTTTTGACAGTGAGCTCTTGCTTTAAATATTTCTGCAACCTGGGAAATGGTCTTTTCTGACAGGGATACAGGACCAGCATTACGACAACGAGTTCTAAATTGGACATAAAAAATGACATTGAGCTTTAAATATTCCAAACTTTACAGATGCACCTAACAAAATGATCCTTCAAAATACTCCACACATCTCCTGCCATCAACTACATTATCTACCAGGAAAATACTGGAGAACAAGGTGGATGAGGTGATATCTTTTATTGAACCAACTGTGGGTGAAAGGGAAAAGCTTTTAAGCTTATTCTTCAGATTGGGAAAGGTACTCTGGGTGTCACAACAAAATGCAACATGGAACAGATTGTTTAGCCTAAGTAGTAACCATATATTCAAAAGCAGTGGCTCTCAACCCAGATAACTGTACCCCTTTCAGGAGTCTACTTTATCTTGTATATCCCTAAGTTTCACCTCACTTCAAAATACTTGCTTAGAAAAAAAAAAAAAAAAACCTACAAAAAAGTGTCACCCTGTTACTGACAATTAGCTTACTTTCCATTTTACTAACAATCATAAAATACATCACCTTAAATTTAAATATTGTACTTGCATTTCAGCATATCTACTATATATTTTAGAGAGTTTATGCGCCCACTGTCTGTGTGAGTCCATTTATTCAAGAACTCCTCCTAAATGGTAAGAGTTAGGACTACCACATTTAGTATGCTGCTAAGCAAAGTAAGGGTTTGGTTGTGCCAGAATAATGGGATGTGCCTGGAATTTGATTTCATTTCATGAGCAACAAAGAAAGAGGTAGGAGGGACATTTAGACTGTAGAATACCATAGCGGGCAGCAAGGGGCCAAAAATGGGGACCAGGACAGCTATAACCCCATTGGGCCAGCAGGGTGCAGAGGTAGAAAAAGGGATAGCTATCTACTATATATTTCAGAGTTTATCCCCCTTCCCCAAATTCAATTATCTGGGGGAAATGGGGGGGAGGGGGGGAGGCAGAATGGAACTTGTGAGGAGTTTGATGCCTAACTATTAGGTTATTAGGTATTTAAAAAACAAACACACACACACACACACACACACACACACACACGCAATTAAGTTAATTGTATATAGACAATAGACTCTCACAAACCTGAAGTGAGCTGTTAGCTCCATATGTGAATGTAGCTTTTGATGGCAAGATGTGCACTTCACTTGGAATGGGACCTCTTTACATAAAGCTATCAGAAGTTTCTTTGCATAAGATGGGAAGGATAAAGGAAGTGGGGTCCCAGTTTCATCTGCAATACGAGATGATGTAAAATTAAGCCACATATTTCAAAGTCCACATACACTATTTCAGCTCTTAGAACACAGATATTAACAATATGTTCCTCTGCCAATCTTTCTGACCACATCATCTGTTCCCATTTGAAATCCACCACTTCATCCCTCCCCAACCATTTTCCAATTCATCAAATTAAGCTTTTTGTTGCTGTTTCTCAAGGGCCTCTCCTGCTCCTACTGATGCATTTTAACCAAAAAAAGGTATATAAAGATGTAGGAGAAAAAAAAATACACCATAATATATTTAACAGGTTTAAAATGTTTTAATTGTCTCCATCTCATATGTTTCCCTTCTTCAATTTTAAACACTACAGGTCGGGTGGCCTGGTGAATGCAAGCACAAAGTCTAACACATTGTGGGTATACAGGATAAAATAGTTACTAATGTAAAACAAGTAGAAATAGTTTATGGAAATCTTTGTGGCCATCATTATGTGAAGAGACAACAAAGGCAATTGCTGTTCCCTTTGCAGTTCACCTTTCACATTCTGAAGTAGTAACAACCAATAGGAAGAGCATTTTCTGACAGCTGAGGCAGGGCTCTGATGCATTAACTGCCTGGCATGGAAGCCAATGCTGCTATTCTTAATTACAAAGATATATAACTTTTAAGAAATAAGCAGCATATTCAACCATTTTATGTACTGAAATGTTTGGAGCTGGATTTGTTCTGATGACAGATACAGTTTCCTCTTTACAAGATGATATAACAGAGGTGAATATATCAAATCACAATGGATTCTTTGTGACCATGCAAAGCTGAAAGTGCAGTTCTGCCATGAAAACTAACTATATTAACACTGCAACTTGTTATTCAAGAAGTCAACTCTCCCTGGTTGTATTCAGAATCTTATTCATTTACTTTTGTTACGAAATAAGTATTTACTGCTTCTTCCTTGGGTTAGAACGCTGAAGGCAACACAACCAACACTGAACGGGCTACAAAATGATTTCTTGTGCGACAACACAATTGATGTTGGAAGTTCCAATCTTTAGACTTTTGCAAGCCTACCTAAGAAAATGGAGTCGCACAGATATCACTAAGGATTTAATATGGCCTACTAACATTTGTTACTGGTGATGTGTAATTTGGATACAATCCGATATACTTTCAGATCCCAATCTTACTTCAAAATATCTGGCAGTTAAAAAAAATAAACAGCCAGTCCCCACTTACGAGTTATTTACCCAACACTTGGTCGTAACTTGATGTGTTCCTAAGTCGGATCCCATTCATTTAAATGCAGCCGTGCTGTTCATAAGCACGGACCGCGTGTTTGTAAGTCGGGGGACCAGCTGTAATGCACTTAATGGGAGGTTGGTTGTAACTATGAATGGTCGTAAGTCGACGCGTTCGTAAGTCGGGGACTGGCTGTAAATATTTAAAAAACAGAGCACACTTGATATGGGAATCAGTATAAAATAAAAATATGGGATTCCAAAACACATTTTGGAATAATTCCTTTCAGAATAGGGTACAAACTCAAATGAAAATATCCTTGTAAATCTATGCAGTTGGTATATTTTTTCCCCAATTAAAAGACATCTTAAAAAAATATACATTTTTCTCTAATTCACAGCTGAAGACATATCCTAAATCACATAGCTTAGATGAATCATCAGAAGGACCCAAAAGATGCTACATTCAAATTACAACATACCACTCAATCTAAAAACCTGAAGGAAGTGATTCTTTTGGGACATATGCTGCAGGCATTCATCTCTTATGCTGAAAAGAAGGAAGCAGTACGGACATGCAAAGCACTGAATAAGCTGTGGAGGAAGGTTTCTTGTATGCCCATCGTTTTCATCTATCTGAAAAATAAAAATTTATTAGTAAAAAAGTCAGTCAGAAATAAATATTTTTATAATCAATCTAATAAACACTTCAACTTTAATGCCCATTTATGTTCTTTATACTTAGACTTTCTAAAAAAGATTGGACAGAATTATAGTTAAGCATACTACAGTCCAGAGGAGATGGCTAATAAAATGAAAATTTCAGAGGAAAATGCCATAAATGTTTACTTTGACTTGTAAATCCATATTATTGTATAAATACTATTATTAGTTAAATACAAAAAAAGATGTTGAAAGATTGCAAACTCAAACACTCAAAAGTTAGGAAGTACCAGAATTAAGATAGCTGAAGCAACCCTAATCTGTCTCCTGTGCATTAGAACATAGTGCTAATTACAAGATTACATACTACTTTTTTCCCCTCCATATCTCAACAGTTATTGCCCAGGATAGAGGAATTGTTCACTAAATCAATACAAAATTTTGTTTTATCCTCATTCTGCAAATTTTCCAGCACATTATGCAATCTCAATAGAGAATTGTTAATTTCCTCTGTCTCTTTCATATTAATCATAGCATAAGTGTTTTGCTAACATCAATGAATTTGCCTTCACAACATCCTTGTGAAGTAGAAAAATATAATTTCCATTCTAGAGACAGGGAGAGGTACTAAGCTAAAGAAATTGAAGTCAAAATTGTCAGAAACAACTACTAATTTTAGGATTTCCCTTTGAGATGCAAAGGGCTTGATTTTTCACACTTCTTAAACATATAAAGCTCACATTTAGTTTAGCTGACACTGTGAACACTTCCGTAAAAATAAGCCCAAGAATCTCCTGTTGGTGACTCAGAAAACACACAGAACACAATTAACAGCCACCCTATGAAAATTTCAAGACTACCCTTTGTCTCAGAACACCTTGGCTACATCTATACTGCAGCCTTCTTCCGCAAAAGCTTATGCAAATGAAGTGCGGAGTAGAATATCGCTGCACTTAATTTGCATAATTAATTAACAGTCATTTTTGCGCAGGAGCCTTTTGTGCAAAAAGGAGCTGTGTAGACGGCTCCTTTTTGCGCAAAAGCCCTCTTCTGCACAAGAGCCATGAGAAAGAACGGGTCTTGCGCAAGAGGGGGCTTTTACGCAAAAAGGAGCCGTCTACACAGCTCCTTTTTGCACAAAAGGCTCCTGCGCAAAAATGACTGTTAATTAATTATGCAAATTAAGTGCAGCGATATTCTACTCCGCACTTCATTTGCATAAGCTTTTGCGGAAGAAGGCTGCAGTATAGATGTAATCCTCACCTTATTCACTACATGCCTCCCAGCTTTTGCAACAAATGAAAGAGGTGACCTTTGAAATTGGAGAGTGCTGTCCTTTTACTTACATAGGACTCAACAAACATCCACAGTATTAAAAACAGGACTGCTGAGAATTACATAGCTTCAAGAAAAACACTGGTAGTTGAATAGAATTGGTTAGGGTGGAACTTTCAGACAGCCTTAGGTAATAATATAGGATGTGGGTTTACAGAAACCTTATCCTTGAAGCGTACACTACATGGGGGGAGGCGCCTCCTGGCATGAAGACACCAGTCTCCCAAACTCAACAGGCTGATATGATGGCTACTGAAGAGGTTATCATCACAGATAAATGGAGTAGAGAACTGGTTGCCAAAGGTGTGAATCAGGGTGCATAAAAATAGATTAAAAAAAAAAAACCCTGATATTTTCTTTCAATCAGGCTTATAAATAAATAAATAAATAAATAAATAAAACAAAACACTACATTTCTCATTTAAAATAGCTACAATTAAATCTCATCCCAAACATGCTACACCGACACTTACAGTTTCATAAAAATGAATTAATGGCTCTAGTCTGTCCAGCCTAAGTACCAGCTCTTGCTTCTTGCAAAGTTCCAGGCTTTCAATTTCTGTTTCTCAACAGACTAAAAAGTAACGTGCAAAGACACATGCTGGATAGGACTGTTTTTGTTCTGGGCTTATATGACCTTGGCCTTGGCCAAGCATGGCATAGGAGTTAGTTAATACAGTTAGTTAATAGTTAGTGTCTTAAGATAGAGACACTGTATAGGAAAGGATAGAAGTAGCATAAAAAGGAACAGTCAAGTGGACTAGAAAAAAAAAAGGGGAGACATGATTCAGCACACACAGACCTTTCTCTATTCCCCCACACTTTTGCCACAGAAAAATTGTCATGGTTTCTGGGCATAAAGACCCTATGTTAATACAGTTAGTTAATAGTTAGTGTCTTAAGATAGAGACACTGTATAGGAAAGGATAGAAGTAGCATAAAAAGGAACAGTCAAGTGGACTAGAAAAAAAAAAGGGGAGACATGATTCAGCACACACAGACCTTTCTCTATTCCCCCACACTTTTGCCACAGAAAAATTGTCATGGTTTCTGGGCATAAAGACCCTAT